GATGACCTAACTGAACTTCTTGTCTGAATTGAATTTAAACATTTTGTTTTTTCAGCAAAAGGAGTGGCATAATTGGCAGATCACTTAGCCTCAATGTTGATTTTACTTGTCTTAGATTGTTAATTTTTACTACTTTTCATCCATCAAAATGTGTGTAGACTTAATTTTTGGGTTCATATGTGAAATTTTACAGACATATGGGTGTGATTTGTAAGGGATTGATGGGAACTAAGCAGCATTAAAGTTCCTCAAATCTGTTCTTATGCAGCTACATAAGTCATTATCTTTCATTCAAAAGGAAATAATTACATGGGAGCTATTTGAGAAATTGAAGACATCCAATGGTAGTTTGTGGATCATTTCATGTCATTTAAGTTTACTAATTGAACATGAAAGTTGTTCTATGCACTGTAAATTGTAATGATGGTCATTATAATGATTGATTCTTTTAACAACTTAACGAATTGAAAAGTGAATGAAAATTATTGAGAAATTTGGGGTTCGGTGGATCATCATGAGTAGGAATGAAATTAAGTAATTCAGTAATAAATCAAGTCAGAGTTACGTGAAGAATTACGTACCAAAAAAAAGTAATTTTCAAACTTTTATTAGCCTGGAAAATTCCTTTCTCTTGTACGAAGCATGACAAAAAATCTGAGATTGCATCAATGACTTAATCTTAGATTTACGACATCATTGAGACATTTACCATCAAAATTCCCACAAATGCATAACACAAAAAGTCATGCAGTTAAAGGTCTAAGTTTGCTTGAGCATATAACGATGATGTTTCATTGAGGAAAAAGTGAGATTCTTTGGTAATCAAATGGACATTAAAGCATGTTGCAGAAAGTGGAAATAAGGACAGAAAAAAAAAGATTGTTGGAACTTGTTTGAAACTAGGTGTATTATTATCCGGATAACATGTTGAATTGTTTAGAGGCACGAATGTTATTAAATGATATCTAGCTGGGGGGATGTAGAAGTTTGAAGACAGTGGACTATGATTAGTCACACGTGCTCTAGATTAGATTTTTTTTATTTTTGAGTCGAGACTGAGTTGAGGAATTTTGAACAGAAAATTTTAGTTTGTAGCTACAGAACTGACTGTACAAAATCTTAAGATCCACTTAAGAACTCAATAGCTAGAAGAAAATGGTTCTACCTTTCATCATAATCAGTCCAAAGCATTTAAGCCTCTAAAGGAAAACTGTAACTTTATTAAGACTTCCATCAAAAAAATTTACAGTTTCACTCAACGCAAGAACCACACAGCCTGCATTATTCTCCGATTTTTTCAATTAAAACTTTAATTGTATCTCATCGAAAACATTTTTGGTTCCTTTTGTGTATTCGCAATATGCTAGAACAATTAAGACAATGAGACTGAAATTTACCAGAAGTTGCGATTAGAATACATGAAGTAATTTGAGAATCCAGTTACATCAAGTCGATAATCTAATTAAAAAAATTGAGAACTCCTTCAATAGACTTTAAATGCCCAATATCCATTGTCTTTCATCAGAATTCCTACCGAAAATATTTAATCATAATCTTTTTGTCTTCATATTAATCCTCATAAGTCAAATTCTCTATATAAGAAGTGTTAGAAATTACCAAACCTCTTTTATGTACATCCAAGTAAAAATTAATGAAAAGAAATTACCTTACTGGTCTTTTTATTCATCATATATCTTTGCTCATATTTTACTTAAAAAGTGATACACGAACGAGAGGAACGAAAAAAAAATTAAATTTTTTAACAGCATTTGTAACTGTTGTTGGGCTCAGTTGAATTGCTTCTGCTAATTAATCAAGAGCATCTTTTCTGATGAATATTGTGTTGAAATGTGTTGGAGTTGAGTCTATTTATTATAAGATTGAAGGGGGAAATGAATGTGAATTGGGAATGAGTTGTTGTTGAAGAGATTTTAAGGAAAGCGCTTGAGAAATCATACAGAAGTGTCTTAAATGACTTAATTGCTCATAAACTTTATAAGCACTTTAGGTTCCGAAATTGAAATTCTTGGTTTATGTTGATCAAACTCTCGGGAAGCCAATCAATTCAAATTTGAGTTCAACAAGATACGTGACTATAAGCAATATGAAAGAAGTTGCAGAATCTGATCACTGACACCAAGTAATGCTCGGGCCAGAATAAAAGCAATGTAGCAATTTTCGTAGTTTTGATTGAAGAATTAAACCAAATCCGCTCTAGAATCCCCAAAAATGCACAATACCCAGCAATATTGCAGCATGACCATCCACATCCGTAACATCTGATCAAAATAAGTCACTACAATCTCCACAATCAGATCCAGTAACACAAATTTCATCATCTTTAATCTTGATTATGTCAAATTATGTTCATTAAACTCATCCATACAGCAACCCAATAAACCCGCCAAAGTCCACCTAATAAACCACATTTTAATTTTATTCAATTTCATAATGAACAGCTGGCCATCGAAATCAGTTTATATGCACATACAAACATACCATGAACAGTAATTGAGCTGTTAATTTATCCACAATGAGAATCACTTCTCTTTCTTATACAGTCTCCGCCTCTGCAGCGAAATAAATTCGAATTAATTGTTCCGTCTTAAAAAACTTTTTTTTACTGATCATCAATTCAAAACAAAACTCTTAAAAAAATGTATAACAGTACCGGTTTGAAATCATTCTGTATGTATGATCCGTTCATTACCGTTCAAGACAATAAATACAAGATGCTGTTTTCGTTTATGCACACAAACTAAGCTATTTTACCATTCATTAAGCTTATTAAAATTATAATGTAGATGACTAGCTATATATTTTGCATTTCTTCAATTATTGCGAAATTACAGAACTCTATACCCAATCATCATAACGAGTTATGAGTTATGATTCAAATGGATATTTTGAAGAAATTTTATTAAGTGATTAATGAATGAATTTCAGCACATGTTGTTTTGTGTACGTGATCACGTTTGAATACATATATCAACAGGTGAGAACGGAACATTCAAAATATTTGGAAAATTTTGAGATTCTCATGTCAGGCAGGTGTTAACTTGACTGTTAGAGTTCAATATGTCATTGGGTTAGTTGTGCTATTTGTAAATTGATTTACTGATAAGCTTGGGGTGATTAATGGTGTGAAAATTTCAAGTTCTTCATGATTTGCTATTTTTAGAAGTTTTTGGCTACCTTTGGCTTCAATATCTTCTCAGACTTTGACAGTTTCACTTCTATGAACTCAAACATTCAACCGTACATGAACTCTACACATCAAAAATCTTAAAATTCCTCAAAATTTACCACAACTGTAATCATCTTCATTACAATCATCCCTTCCAGCTATAAATTACAAAACCATCTCCAATCTTCACTTTATTGACATTTTAAATGACCAGCTTTAGCTTCGAATTTCCTTCAACCTCTACCTTTGTCATTATCTTATCCAATGTTTGTCATAAAAACATCTTATCCATTTCCAGTGACATTTTCATCATTATGGATATTTAATATTACTTTTTTTCGACAATAACAGTGCCTTGTTTCACACCTTGTGTGTTTCTTAAGTTACAGAAAAATACCAGACAATGCGTTCTTTACATGCTAATGCCAAAAAAAAATTTCACAATTATGGTGCAAATTATTTACATTAAATCTGTAATGGATATGGCAATGACTAACATGACACACTTAGGAGATATTGAGGATTACTTTTACTTCATAAAACCAGTCCTTTTATTGCTGTAAGTTTGATGTTTCAATTTTGGATATAAAGTTTAGCATTTATGACGTTGTTACCGGCCGGTTTATGTTGATACAAGCTTTATTGTGGGGATTTTCAAAAAGGTTGAATCAGATTGAGAAGCTTTTAACTTGAAAAGTCTAATCAAGATCAGTCAACTATAAAAATTTGATAGTGCTTCTTGGTTTTATCAGGAGCATAACTACTTTATACTTCTGGAAGTCTAGAAAACTTAAAACTAGCTTCATAAAGCATGTCACTAATATATGTTCTCAGTGACTACTTAAAGCATTGTTAGGAACCGGACTTTAAAGCTATAGAATTACAGAATTCCTGTTATTTTCATTCTTAAATCATCTCAAATATTCCTCAAAATCTCATTTAAAATGCAAAACATTCCCAAGACTATATTTACACGATAAATGCCAATGAATACCGCCAACATCGCTCAATTCGCTTTCAAAAAAAGCCCAAGAAAAATGCTGTAAAAATATTTATTCATTCTTCATCTGCTTTAAAATTCCAAACAATCAAGATTATTATTTCTCTCTCAATATCTCCAATGCGACAAATTTGTAGGTCATTTGTAAGGAGGATGAGCCACGCGAATATCTTGCTTATGATGTCATAAAGTGCTTATGACCATCTATAGGAATATCACATTACAAAGAGCTACGCTGTTGACAAAAGGAGAAAGCTGGACATAAGCAAATCCCAGTTTTTTTTTATTCCATCAAATTTCTCTTAGTTGGAGCCAAAAAAAATAAAAGATTTCTACTTTAATTCAGGCATTCAGACATTTGCATTTTAAATGAATCTAAGAAGATGTGGGAAAAAGCAGCATGTTTTCAATGAAATTAAGTGAACTCGTTGATCTTTAAATATCTCTTCTGTTTGCATCATAAATCAATTTTCATCAGATTTTGCAGTCCATACGATATTTGTTTCATTGTGTATTTCACTTACGAAGAATTTGTTCATCATTGCTCGTATAAAAAAAAAAAATTTGTTATTTGGATGAGGTCGGTGAACTTGTTTATGGTTTGAGGCTCATCTTAATGAGCTCTTCATCGCATCTCTCAAATCATAATTAATCATTGATTTCACTTGAGGCATGGAAGAAGCTCATGATGATTTTCTACCATTCAGATGATGTAGCATTTTCCGATTTCTTTCACTGTTTTATTGAAATTCTAAAACAAATTTCAATTCGTTTCCAAAAATTATTCATATTTTTTTATTTTTTTATTTGCAGCACAAAAATGTAGCTTTCCGGGCTCACCGGCACATAGTAGTGTAACATTTTCAGAAGATACTTTAATTCACGGTACGATAGCTTCTTACTCATGTGAGAGAGGTTTCGAGTTACTTGGACCAGCCCGAAGGGTATGTGATAAAGGAAATTGGACACCGGAAGGAATTCCATTTTGCGGTAAGTTTTTTTAACCAAATTCATTTCTTAAATACAGTTTGAATTTCAAGTATGAATGGATGGTAAATTCAGATCCAAATATTGTTAAATCTGTTCATGATATTTAAGTCTTGCCATCATGTAGACCTTTTTACATTTATCAAAACTTTAATTCATTCAATTATCTGCGAATAATCACCAAAAAACTTTTTGAGGTGGGAAGGGTATGAAACTACGAGTTAAAACCATCAAAAACCGTTAAGTTTTGAAACACATGGTCGCAAAATTTATCACAAGAAATTTAAATCGCACAAAACCATTAATAATCAATTGAAACTTATTATCAACGGATTTTCCGATCATTTACATCAAGAATGGCCTTAAACTTTGCGTTCACAAAACCTTCACTTACAAGATTCGATTGTTACAAGCTTGAAATTCACAAAACAATAACAAAAAGCGAAATAAATTGGATATCAATAATTAAACACATGTTAAACCGCTTCCCATGTCTCCTCAAAAAAAAAAAAATAAAGAAAAATATTTATTAAACATCGGAAATAAATTTTACAAATAATTTCTACAATTAAAGCCAGCATCAACGCTTTAAAAAGACAATAGATTGCAATGGAAATTTTTTTCTTTCTCTTTCCTTTTGTTTCTTACAAGAATTTCTTTAATTCGCTTTCAGTTTCACTATCAAAATCTTTATTTTGTTTTTCTTCTTGTAGTTAAATTCACACATGCCATTGAATTCAATGAGAGAGAGAATAACTTTTGTACTTTGTCGGGAAAAAAAGGTCTTCAGCTCTTTCAGTAAGAAAACAAGATAAAAAGTGTCTGCATAATTTCCTTATTTATTCAAGGCGCATTTTTATCGTCCACAAATATTTACTTTTTTATCAGAATTTGTGTTGATTTATCGATTATGTAAGGCACGGCATGGATGCTTTTACGTAAAAATTGAGGGAATTTACACTCGTGCTAATTCGCTGTTATTCAATAAGAAATAATTTCGTGAAATGCCATAAAAAATTGAATCAACGGCAATAAAACAGTTTCAATGAAGATTTGTTGTAAAATATGAAGCCTAATCACTGCTCTTGATCAAAAGTCGTTCAGCATTCATGAACAATCCCTATATTCAAGATTGTACATCAAGTCTAGACAAAAAGAATCCAAATTTCCCAAATCACATCAAAAAAATTGCGCCAAAAAGGCATTCTTTTTGCTATTCACCTTCAATTCCATAAAAATACTCATAATATAACGAGAAAGAGTCGTGACTTATTAAATGGAAAGTTGTTTATTTTCTTTCATTCCACAAAACACTATGCAAAGTGAAATTTTTGTAAAGACTTTTTTCCTTCTCTCTCTTTTGTGCTTGTTTTGCTGTTTCTACTCATTGACGACTCAACCTTTTTCATGACTTCTATTCACAACCGCAATTGCGAATGCTTGCAATTTGTCACAATAAATAAAAAATATTTTTCGTACACAATTTTTTCATTTGAATTATTCTTGTGTGGAAATGAACTAAATGTAGGTTAATGATTTAATAATCTTTGTTGTGACAGAAGCAGCAAGCAACGAGAAGCATTTAATTGTTGACTTTCATAAGAATAACAAAAGGTAGTTCATTTGCAAGTCAATTTTTCTATTCTTGGATGTGAAACACTCTTGATTTCGAAAGTTTTGTGTTGTTGTTTAGGGCAATGATCACTTTAAAAGGTGCTTGCTTGTTGAGTAGCGTTCTTTGTGGGTGTAGGCTTGAGATTTCGCACAGAATTTCACAATGATGTCGGTTTAAAATGTTCAAAAATTAGTTTGAAGCACATGCTAGTTAATTTTTGTGAGGGTGTCCAACAAATCGATTGTTCTTTTGATTCTGATGATGCTCAAGAGCTCCTGAACATATTTCATATCAAAAAGTAAGAACTTAACTTCATTTAAAGCTGTTCCTTTGGTTTAAGGAAATCCAAGTTACTATTTCGATACAAAAGTAGTTTCTGAACTTTACTTCCGAAGAAAGTCACTTAAAAAAGAGCAGTATGCCTTTGATCAGTCCTCAAATAAAAGACCACTAAGTTAGCTTTCGATCAATACTAATAAATCATTAAATACAGAAATAGGATTAAATAAAGACATCCAAAAATATTTTTCAAAATTCACGGGCAAGTAAATGACAGAAATACAAAAGTCATTATGACTCATCACATACCCAAAAAATTCCTCAAACTATCAATTTCCCATTGTTCATGTGCCGCTCGAATTCCAAATTTCACGATCACTATTCAAGTCAAAAAAAAATTCTTATACACATTTAAAGACATCTTAATAGAGTTGTTGCTTCTCCCAAATCATTTCCTTATTTACAAACTTATCCACGCACCACAAAAGCAATTAAGCAACACAAAGGAAAATTAAGAAAGTTACAATGAGCAATCTGCTGTGAAGAAATTTGAAAGGATCTTATTCATCATGACTCACTTGTACTTTCTTTTACTTCAAATAAAAATAAATAGCTAGCTAATCATCCTAATTCGATTTAACACTTAAGACACAGCGAGTGATTCATGAACATTCCGTAGATATCAAAATAACAAGAAGGAAAGAAAGAGACATGAGGCGTAAAAGACATTATTAAGTACACTGACACAAAGATAGTAACACAGTGACACAATCTTCGTACATAGAATAAATGGTAGAAAGTGTAGTGATGCAAGTCTTTCAACCTTGACTTTCTTCTCTCTTTTTTTTCTACCTCGTTCCTTTGTTTTTATTCTAATCCGTAAATAGAATGGAAATAAAGTCATTGCACATACACTGCTTTTTATGTGATTCTGCTTATGTTTACCGGAATCATATGGTTGGAAACTTTTTTTGGCTTGTTCCAGATTTTTTATGTTCTTGCATCGATTGTGGCTGATTTATAGCAGCATAACTAGCCTTAAGGAGCTGAGACACTGCTTTGAGCATCAAAAGCCTTTGGTTCAGTCACATGTAAAACTAATGTAGCGAGAAATGTTACAATCCATTAGTATTGATTCCATTCGCTGCCTAAAGATGTAAATTTATGCTGTCGCCTTGATTAAATTCGGAAAAGTTTCAAAATAAAAAAATAACAAAATGTAAATTCATATGGCACCTATGGAATGTGTCCCATTGGGAGAGATAGAAGATATAAGGCTGAGAAAAGAATGCTCATACCTTAAAAATATGAGAAGAAAAATCCACGAAGAAATGATAATAAATTATTCATACAGCAAAAGATCATCAAAATGCCGTTAGATTACGGCGCTGTTGTATTTCAATCGAAATCAGAGCTTATGTGGACTGATTGGGATGTTGTCACACTACTTTATGCTGTAAAGTGGTCGTGCACGTTTAATTGATTTTAGATAAATAGAAATAAACAATTAAATAATGATTTCTTACTTATGAAAACTTTGCTTCAATGATCTTCTTAATGGAACTTCTTTCTCTACCACAAGACGTTCTGCTTTGCAAATGTGATGACAAAATATTGTAACGGATATTTAGTCTGTCTCTTTTCTCTTTTGTTTATCAGTTAATATTTACAAACTTACATCAATGATCTTTAATTGTGAGAATATATTTTTTGGATACTATCCAATTATCCGCAACTGAGGATCAACATTCAGCCGGATGTATCATATTAATTATAATGAATTTACAATGTAGAATTGAACTTTTAGGAACGCTTCATTATTTTTTAATTAACGCTTGGTTCTTTTTCATTTGGTGAAGGTTCATTTGATGCTACTGACATGGCCATTAATCAAGAATCTTTAGAAGCGAGCATTGATTATAAAAAATTTTATTGATGAAGCTTCTTGGAGATGATAGGGGCGATTATGTTAACAATCAAGAGTGTAATTTGATCTGTCTGATGATCATGAAGCGTGGTCATTTTCTGTAGATAGTTTGTTGGAATGTTTACTGATTAATTATGGGTTGGGAATAGTTTTGAGATTTATAAGGTTTAGACTTCGATTTTGTGAATTTTTGGAGTTATTTCTTTAAAGAGGTAGGCAAAAGCAGCAATCCAATTGAACTGAATAGCTTCTAAATGTTCTTGTGTCGTTCAGGTTAATAGTGAATTTAGGAGTGCCATAGCAGCTCAAATGTCATCGCTATAATTCTAAGAGTAAGCAAAGCATCAATTATGTACTCGTCTTGATTGGAAAAATCAGTTAAAATTTTCACTTTTCCACAAACAATCCAAAAATATTTTGATCACATTTTATTGCATCAATAATAATTTAATAACTTTATTAAAAAATCCACAAATCATGACAATAAAAAGTGCTTATTGCTCCCACTTCTTGAGGTCAATGTAATTTACTTCACATCATAATAACAAATCCACTCTAAATATCAAACGTGTTAAATATCAAGCATATTAAAATATCTCCGGATATGGTCAAGAAATCTCTTTTAGTGCACAATTTCAAATCCATCAATTAAGCTAATCTACAAATTTGATTTCTAATATTCCATACACGACATTTAGTGAAACTTTTTTTTTTCGACAACTTTTATTTTCATACTTCCTAAATCATGTTTTCATATGATCAATACAAATAATCATTTCCTCCTAACAATGAAGCTATTCAGAAAGGTCCCTCAATGAAAACATCATTTTTATGTTTTGGATATACCGCGTAAAATTTTAAATAAATGAATTATAATTAAGTACAAAAAAAAAGCGTATTTAATGACTGCATTTCGACACACGTCTTATTTAATGTAACGTGAAATGCTTCTAAGAATGTTAATATGTCGTTGTTAATTGTGTGTATATCCAACATACACGATGAAAATGAGAAGAAACCGCTTAGCAGTTGTTTTCTTTGTGAAAGAAGGAATGAAAAAGAAAGAAGATAAAAATGGGTCAGCAGTGTAATGAAAAACCTGTAGTCTGGAATGTGTATTGGACGTTAATGAGTTTATGTTGTCTTAACAGCATTGAAAATACAAATTAATTTGAATTCCCC